AAAAAGATTTTCGAAAACCTGGCAATACTCTCAACAGCTGTATACCCACCCATCATCAGTAGGTATTTCATAAAATTAAAATTAAGATATTAAAAATTGTTGTATTACAATCAAACCCTTTTATTTAAATATTATTCTCTGCTTCACTTCAAACAAATTTAAATATTTGTTTTCTTACATCTTAACTCAATAAAACATTGTCACTCTAATTACTCTTACTAGACTTAATTTTTTATAAGAAAATCAAAACATAGATAAAAAATTAAACTTTGATATAAACACTTAAATTGCGAATCTACTGTAATGAGAATTTACCACAAGTTAAGATGGAAACAATATTATATCATGAATTTATATCTCTTTTATCTAATAACCCTAATTTTCTATAATAAAATTTTATTGCCTTAAGTCCTTTAACAAACTGCCCAATTTTTAAAAATTTATCCAAGCGATAAATAACAAAGTTAAGCAACCGAATACATGCGTGTGCCATTTTACACGAGGTTCTCCGGAGGCATTGAAAGATTCAATTAATTAAATTCTCGTTGTAATTAACAATTTTCTGTGAAATTACACGAAAAATGACAGATTCGCTCCCATGGAACAATGAAGTTAATGAGGCCCGCTGGCGTGCTGTGCTCAACGTTGGCTAGGTCAGTTGGAGTTGTCATTGCCGTTTAAATTTATATACATTCATATATAGTTAAATTCAACGAAATAGTCTGTAAAATCGACATTAAAATCAGTTTTAAAACATTATGAGACATACTTGTTTCAAGAGGCAACCAGATACTGTTATTCTGTAAACGAACACAATAAAATGGTGAAACGCACAAATAGCAAAGATTCGTACAGAATTTCATTTTTATTCTGGCTTACCAATAACTCCAATGAGCATTTAGTATAAATTTTTATGTGGTGCTCTACCCTTTAACGAGTTCAGAACATACCCATTTTAACCAAACCCAGCATGAGCTTAATGTTATTGCGAATATTTGCGGTGTTTTTTGAACACGCAAAAGGATCGTATGAAATGCTAATGGATTGCACTGAAAAAAGTGTAAATAATTATTTACCAATGTTTGGAATTTATTTTAAAAACCGAATAAATTTTTTTTTTGTACTAAAGTCACTCGTAAAAATGTTTCTTATTTTAGTTTAAATATTAAAATGTATTAGTTGTTAAATAACAATAAATGATACCATGAAATCTGTAGGTAAATGGACTGCATATCTTTCTCTCTTTCCGCATCTCCCCCTTCTCTCTCCATCTCTCTCTCACTCCCTCTTTCCTTCTCTCTCTCACTCTCTTTCTCTCCGCAAACACAACATATCCTCTAGATCACTCTTTTTTATTCACTTTTTTACATACTCAGTTATTAATTAAAGATGTTAGATGTTCTTGATATCTTTATCTAGAAAGTTGTTTAAAGTGAAACAAGGAAAAAGAATATGTAGGGAAAGATAGTGTCTCTAAGAGTATGAGCAGATTGAAGAAGTAGTAACCGCAATTTATGTACGAAATTATAGAAGGCACACATAGAATACAAGCCCATGGAAAGGAGTACAAACTCAGGCTAAAACAAACAAAAACAGATTAGAACTAAAAATAAACGAAAGAGGTTGTAATGATATTTGAATGCAAGAATTGCACAATGCATCATATGCTGCCAGTTAAAGCTCCAAATTTTAATGCGAAATAAATACTAATAGTTATAAAATAAGTCAATGATGGGTTATTAAAATAATATAGAGTAATATATCGACTTTTGATTTGAGATATGTTTTGTGTGTATTTAGGCATAGAATTATTTGGGTCAAGTTATGTATGCGATGCTAGTTCAAAAATTTTGTTTTCATCTCGCAAAATTCCTTAACCATAAAATTAAAATCTTTTAACACCTCATCAAACTTACTTTGTGGATATGGATTTGCCTACGACACATTCTTGAGGCCCTTATAATACAATGTTTACAATTATGAGACTTTATTTTTATAACTTTGATAGTGTAAACGAACGGGACGCAATATAAAATATTTTGCACAACCCTGATTTGTGTTTTGCTGTACAGTACAATTTAATAATAAAACAAATGCAAAACTTTTACAGTTGAGTATTGAGTATCATGTTTATTTATATAAATCATATAATTTTTGATCTAATAAATATATTTAAAAGTCAAACTTATTAAACTATTACTTTTCAAATAATATTAAATGCGATGACACCAAAACCAATGCTTATGTTTATTATACATATATAATAATAAATATGCAAATGTCATTTTTCGACTGTGTGAAAGAGACGACAAATACTGCGATAAAAAAAAATGTACAGTTTCAGTACGCATAAATATATATCTAAAACTTTTACCGTTTAAAGTTAAAAGTCTTACTTTATCTCTTTCAATAAGTAAATATGAGTTCACCTAGTGAAGAAATCAATTTTCTAATTCACAAATATATGCAAGAGTTAGGTGGGACTAAATTTTACAATAATATTTTAAGTAAAAAGATAATGAATCAAACTAACAAGTTTATTATTTAATTGCAGGATGTCAACATTCGGCATTCGTTTTTCAAGCCGAATCCAATATTTCACAAAGTAATATTAATGGTGCCCTAGTGCCACAAAGGGCATTGTTGGCAATTTTACAAAAAGGACTTCAGTATACAAAGACAGAGCAAAGCATTGGAGAAGATGGGAAAATTGTAGATGATAGGAAAGAACTCCGATTGATAGATGCTGCTATGCCTCAAAATGGCGGTTCTTTAGCTGGTGAGTCATTAAGCACAGCAAATTTAAATGTTGAAAAAACTGCAAACAATGAGAATGATTTAAGTGTTAGCCGTACAGTTAAAGAACACCCCTTAATATTAAAGAAAAATTATTCGCGCGATTATTATAAGCATTCAAATAATGGCAAAGAAGTATCAGCAGGTACCATAATAAAAAATTTATCCTTAGCATCTTCAGCGGATTCAAAAGTTCCTGATAAAACTGCAAGTGATGAAGATAATTTTGGTGTTAGCCGTACAGTTAAAGAACACCCTTCAATATTAAAGAAAAATTATTCGCGTGATTATTATAATCGTTCAAATAACGGCAAAGAAGTATCAACAGGTACCAAACCAATAAATTTATACCTAGCATCTTCTGCAGATTTAAATGTTGCTAATGAAACTGCAAGTACTGAAAATAGTTTATGTGTTACGAGTACAGTTAGAGAACGCACTTCGGTATCAAAGAAAAATCAATCGCTTGATTCTTCTAAGCATTCAAATAGTGGCAAAGAAGTGTCAGTAAGTACTATGGCAAAGAGTTTATCTTCTTTAAAAATTGCAAAGAGTGAAGATGATTTAAGTATTAGCCGTACACTTAGAGATCGTCCGTCAGTTTCAAAGAAAAGTCTTTCACGTGGTTCTTCTAAGCACTCAAATGCTGGTAAAGAAGTCTCAACAGGTGCAATGCCAACAAATTCACCTTCAGCATCGTCTGCAAACAATATTCAGAATGCATGTTCCTCAGCACCCGATGCTGTCGTCAGTAAATATTCACTACGGAGCTCAACTCTTAAGCGTTAATTATATGAATATCATTTTATAAAATTAATCTTTTCATTAGCTGAATTCGACTATTTCATGTGCTATCTATTATAGTCCCTCTTTGAAATTAAAAATTGTTAATTAATTGTTAATTTAAAATAATAAATTACTCTAAAAATATATGCAAGATGTTTTAATTCAAAAATACATTTTTATTTCATTAGCTTATATTATATTTGTACTAATCGATCTAATGGTTGATTGGTTGATTGCAGTGGACGGTCATCAAATAATTTTCAACATACCTCAATTAACGATTTTTTGTCATTTTGCTAACACATTTCTCGCAAGAAACCTTAAGATAGAAAAATACAGATCAAATTCATTCAATCGAATTTAAATAATTTAATAGGTCTTTCAGCTTTACCGATCTGATAAGCTGTCAAATAAACACCTTCATAAAAACCTATTACTTGTGGACACCAGAGCCGGGTATTCACCAAAAAAGTGTTTAGTAGTTTCTTTTTCCAACAGGTTTCCAAAACTTTTGCATTGAGAATAATGAGGAATGCACAGTTTCTTTGCCTGAACAACACGCCAATAACTTCCAATACACCAATGACTAGGAAGAACTGCAATAAGCCTTGCAGTATTTACACGATAAAATTACCCCTTTCTTTAATTAATATGACAGTTATTTTTTAATTAGAATTTCTAAATAATTTTTATATAATAAAATTGTTGTGATTTTTTTGCAGTGTATTAACATATTAAGTTTGAGTACATTAGAATGTTCAAACTGGAAGCAGCTAATTTTAAAGCAATCTATTTAATGTTGCATTTCCATGTTGGTCTGAAATAATGCTTGAATTAATGAAATTCCATTTTAAAATAATGCGGTCAATGCGTTATAAATGTTTCCAACCCGCAATCCTTCGTACTTATATATTGCGTAGACGAGAGTCTAGTGGCGGGCATTGCACAAATGCAGCTGAATTGCAAATTGCTTTAAGCCGCGAGTTACAAGGATTTCAGTAGTAAAATGTTTGCGATTCTATTTCGCAACAATTACATATTAGAGGGTTCAGTACACTCACTAAGTTCTCATTCCCTACGCATGGTCTCGTAAATGGATTTTTCAGTACTGTTGATGTTACTATATTGCTGTTGTTGTTGTTGTTGTTTGCGTATTATTGTTGTGCGGGTGCTTTTGCTGCCACAGTGATACGTTTTCTAATTAAGCATTTTGCGACCACATCCACGGGCTCCATAATTTACGCTAATGAGAAATTTATTATGCAAATTGCTTATTAACTTTATTTCCTTCATGCTGCCTTTCCAGTTTTGGACATGTTCACAGTTGTATTTGTTGCAAGTGCGTCCGTGGAATCACTACTCATATTAGGTAAGTTAAACATTTTTTTTGGAAACAATATTTTTACTTTAAGCAACAAGTTACTTTAACAAGTTCATTAGATTAAGTTTTCAATTACTTAATGATTAGCACAACACAATAACCATCATAAGGTATTAAAGGTAATGTGTATGAAATTGCTTATGCTTATATTGCGAATTTAGTCTAAAAATAATAAACATTCCTTTATTTTCACAATGTAATTTTAATCGCAATTTAAAGCCGATTGTTATTGAGCTAGCTACGATTCCACTTAGATGGTTGGTTAGTTGGTTGCAGTGGCTGATCAGCAGTTAACTTTCCATAATTAACGATTTTTTGCCGTTTTACTACCATATTCTTTGCAAGAAATCTTTACATTTAAAAACACAAAAACAAAGCTCCAATTTCGGACATTCAAGTCAAGTACTGCTTTGGGTCATTTGGCGAATGAACACTGAATTATTTTCGAATAATTAAAGAAAGAAATAAGAAGAATAAATAATAAGAATAAGAAATAATTTCAAGACAACTGATGATGTGTATTTAGCAATACTCGAAATCAGTACTATTAGCCAAAAATTCAATTAACTTAAAAATAAATACAAAATTTTTGTTATTGCAATTCATCACTGTTCGAAACCTCTCTATTGAAAGACAAGCACTAAATCTATACACACGAGTTTATATAATTTAAAAGATCTTTCTTGCTTACCTAAGAACTGTCTCACAAACTATCAAAAAAGTACTCCCTTAAAAATTCATTTCTTCTGAAGGTCAAAGCCTGGCAAACACCGTGAATTCTTAATGCTATAGAGCAGAGCTGTCCAAAGGTAGGTTCTCAGCTAATATATGTGGGTCTCGCAACATATTTCTATTCTACTACAATTACATAAATTATTCTTCGATTCAATTTGGCAAAATTACATTACTTTATTTTAATGATATCCGATATCACTGAACCTAACAACAACTATTATTAATAATTTTGATTTTGATAGATTTGTAAAAAATAAATTACAGAAAACTAAATTTAACATTATCGCCGTATTTCTATCCAAAAAAATCATTAACATATGTATTTATTTTGAATTTCCTAAAACATCCTTGTGTCTGAAACTTAGAGAGGAAAAGTATAGGAAAAGTGTACTACAAATTCTTCAAAAGACCTCAAATTATCTATATATATAGAGAAATATAGGTCTGTGTTGAAATATAGTATTTTTTCTGTTTTTGTGGTGAGTAGATGGAATGCTTTATGCACCATCATTAAAATGTAGTATACGGTCTAAAACTCCCCCTCTTTGGCGAAACTTATTCCTCCTCAGAGGAGCTTTCGCATTACTTCGAAGAGTTATATAGTTGAAATGTAGTTCAGATATACAATACATAGCAGTCAAAACTCATCCTAAACTCGGATTGATCTTACTTGTATCTAAACCTAGAGAAAAGAACTACAGAATAGTGTCGATATAGCTTGGAGATACAATACAAAAAATTCAAAACTTATCCTAGACTCAAATTGTATTAAACTCAAGGACTTTCTGATAGTTTAAATAAATTACTATTCAATACACTTCCTTAATAACAAAAAGCTTGAATTACTTTGCATTATATTTCGTCTCAATATGTTAAGAATATTTTTACTTTCCATAATTTAATTAATTTATTTATTTATAGTATGGGATTCCACATCCAATTACCGCAAAATATTTTTAAAGTTCTGTGTAGTTATTTTAATAGTTTTATTATTATTTTCCTACAACAAACTTTCTTTAGATATTTCTTAATAAAATTATGATTCAAGTTTCATATAACAAACATTTTCTTGTAGTGAAAAAAATATTTAAAATTATCCTTTATTTATAAAAGTTTTACTTCATAAAGTTTGTACCACAGAGTGATTGCAAAACTAATATTTATTAGAAATAGACAATTATATAAAATTAGTTTATAAAACTTTTATTTTTTAAATTAGTTTTAAAGAATATTTTCCATATTTTTTTCTGCACCGATATTTCCATTATAGTGTATAGTCATCTCTAGGATACTTCAGAAAACATAAGATTTACTTTGTAAAGCTCATTTTACTCATTTTAAATATAAGTTTATATCATACTACTGTAGACTAGAAGTGGAGCATTAAGAGTGAAGTAAAGTTCCTTTAATAAATTGAGGTAATTTTGTTTAATTATATAGAAGTTTAACAATTTGTTGATAACATCGACATCACTCCATCATAATTTTTCATTGTATCTAGTAAGTTGTTTTTGAGATAGATATATAAATTATGTCAAAAAATGCATTTAATCACAAATTAATTTTGAATGTTTCTTAAAGTGAGTTCTCAGTATTCGCATGCATATGCGAATACCCTGAATACTTTGTACCAATAACAATTTACACATATCTTTCTGATACATCAAGCTGATTAATTTTTGCTCTACTATACTTTAAATATACGAAAGATACGAATACATTAAAATGCAATTAGGAAAACATTTTAAAGTACTGCATTATTTTCAAGTAGATTAACAACAGAGCTTAAATTAGGTTATTTCAAGATACTTCACTCGCTATTTCATGTTACCATTTTTACAGTTCAACGATGACAGTGTAATGGACCAAGACACCAAGAGCAACAACTCCCAAATGCACATTTAGCCTTTAATACTGAGTAGCTACTGGCGTAGCTACTCCACGCCATACTTGGTTCAATTTGAATGAAGTTAAAAGTTATTGCTGTTGTTGGAATTGGAGTTGGAGTTTTTGTTGTTCCGTTCGGGTAACGTGTAGTAAACACTATAAACGCAGTTACCCTTTTATACAGGTGCACTTGTACAGGTTGTGGCAGTGCTGCCAATTGAAAGTATTTGTGTAAAATTTATGGGCTAATTCGCTTTCATACTCACACAACAGCAATGCTCTGGCACTCCAAATACCAAAGAAGATTTTAAAAGTTTCAATTGTAATTGAATATTTATGTGCGCAGGTGAGTCTAACCACACGAAGTTGAAGTTCCTGCACAACAATACTAACTTTCCTTGTTATATAAATAATAAAAAATTAAAAAAGTAAAAAAAAATATTCTACAATTTATGTGGAAAAAGTGCATTCGATGCCATTGAGAGCATTGGAGTTCAAAACACTGTTGCAACTAATTGAAAATTGTAGCTATAAATACTTTTATGGAGTGGCAAAGAGTTCGTTGACAATAAATAATTCCATTGTGGAGCAGGGAGTTCTTTCAATGCATAAACAGTTAATCTGGAATAGAAATGAATTGCAATGAAACTTACCCATTTGATACGAAGGTTCGATAAAACGAGCAAAAATAGCAGTCAATTTGGAGATTAAAATATAATTTATAAGGCCACAACTTCAATTTAGTATTCTGAAGCAAGCAAAACACAAATTGTGAAAATATAATAAAAAATCTTTGAAAATGAATAAGAAATGTATATACAAATACTTATATTACGTATATATATGTTCTATTGTTGTTATTCATAGACTAATCGAATGCAAAAATGAATTATTTAATCCGTTAGATAAATTATAAATAAATAGATTACATAAACTGTGGAAACTAATTGCACGTAAAAGGGTTCAATAATCATAATTTAATAATTATTTATGACACCTGTTTATTACAGTTTAGAGTGAGATGGATCTCATAAAATCTCTACCATGCTTTTATATCTTCAAGATCTTTTTATTT